AAAACATCTGTGAGTACCTCATGGAAGAGAAGGGGCCCTAGTACCGAGTCTTGGAGCACCACTGTGGAGAGGCAATGAAAGGTGGACAAATATCCTTGCCATGACACATTGTAGGAACGCCCAGAGAGGCAGGATTCAAACCACAGGAGTGCTTTGCTAGAGATGCCCGTTGTTGAGAGTGCGGATTACAGGATCCTGTGATTGACTGTATCAAAGGCAGCTGATAGGTCAAGCAGGATAAGAACCGAGGATTTGGGCTGCAGCCTTAGCTGACCTTTGGGCTTCTGTCACAGACAACAGAGCCATTTCAGTGGAGCGACCACTCTTAAAACCAGTCGGAGGTCATTCCGTGAGAGGAATTCTGAGACCTGTTTGAAGACTGCCCATTAGAGAACTTTGGATAGAAATTTGAAGAGAAACTGGCCGATAGTTCTCAACCTGAGTAATGTTGAGGGAGGGCGTTTTGAGTAGGGGTGCATGAAATAAATTTCCCTGACTGATGCTTGCAGGTTTTTCTCAGTCAATTAATCTGTTAAGCCAAGTACTTATAGTCCATGTTTGTCCAGAATACGAGAGTACTGTAAACCTTCTGAAAACCTCTGCATCTCTGTAACTCTCTGTTTGTTTGTGCCCCACAAGCACAGCTGTGTGCCTAGCTCACTCCCCCGTTCTCTCTCCCTCTCTGTCTCGCCTTTTCTCCTATTTGACCTGGGAACTCTCTCTCTCCCCTGGCTGTCAGTGCCTCATTCAGGATTCTTGGTGTCCAGGAGATTCGGCATTTTGTAATCTCTCTCTCTCCCGTGTGTGCATGTCCTTCTTGTATCTCTCTCCCTCTCTGTGTGTTTGCTTCTTTTCTCCTATCTGTGTTAATGGTGAGCTTTGCTCTTGTGATTCTCTGTAGTCTGTCCTTTTTCCAGGTCTCCATGATGGAGAGGAGGTTGTGAGGCTCAGATCTGTTTGGCTTCCATAATCTTCATATATCTTCTATCCATAATTTTGTCATCCTGATTATCCATACTGTACATACTTTTACTCTGCTGGTCTATTCTGTACACACAACATCTATTGGATGTCTGTCCGTCCTGGAAGAGGACTTGACTTGACTATGTAATGGAGTCTATTCTGGAAGCTCTTTGCTTCTCTGGAAAAACCCTTTTTAAAGTGGCACAATGTTTCATTTAATTTGAACATTTCCAAATTAAGAATCGTCACTGAACACAGGAAACAGGAAATGCAATTCCCAGACGTTTCTCAGATAAACATAATCTCACCATTATGGAGCTCTGGCAAAACACCAACTTTAAAAAAAATGCTATTCCCACATGTGGAGACTCCCCTCCACTATTGTTTTTTTTTTTGCCCGCCCAAATGCAGCTGTTTCCCAGTGTGCCTGCAGAGTAAACTGCTGGGAGACAGGGAGGATGGAAGGACACTGACAGGGAGGCTTATGGTCCCATAACAGAAACAGCAGGGACTGACCTGGGGCTGCATGAATCACTTAGCAACAGATGGAGACTGGGACAGCATGTACTGGGACCAGACCATTTGAGACTTTTATCACTAGTAAATCTGGTCCAATCAGTGATGTCCACCTCTGGTATCAGTGATGCAGCCTGATTAATTACCTATTTACTGTGACTTGAAGTCCCCAACATTGGTCGTTGCAATGAGACAAAATTGGTACCAATAAAGTTACAACTGTGTTAGACCTTGAGTATGTTACGTGACTTAAGTCATGAGGTTTAACACATGGTGAACATTGTGAAACAGTCCTATTTTGGTTAGGTTATGGCAACAAAACCACTTGGTTAGATTTAGGAAAAAGCTTGGGGTTTGGGTTAAAATAAGTACATTACCTAAGTCACATAATGCAAGTCATCTACAAAATGTTATTTAACTTAAAACACGTCACATTTGGCCCTGCGATGGACTGGCGACCTGTCCAGGGTGTACCCCGCCTTTCACCCGATGTCAGCTGGGATTGGCTCCAGCCCCCCGCGACCCTGTACGCAGCATAAGAGGTTGATGACATCACCTGACTTCTTTTGCCACTAGAGGTCACGGCCTAACCAAAAACGTAAAAAATGGGTTGTGGTAAGCTGTATAATAATCTAATAATAATTCTCTGGTGAGGACGAGCTAGACCTTACATACACTGTACACTTACACAGATACTTTAGAAAGCAGGAGTTTAAAAAATGATGGGCATTTGATGTAAAAACAGATTGTACCTGTATAGCCTGGCACTGATAAAATGTATCACAATAAATGTTGATATTGTCCTCATGTAATTTGTTTTAATTTTCGCTGTTTGATCAGTCCCTAAAATGTTTGCCAAATTTGAAAGTATAGCATTTGTGTGTGTGTATGTGTGAAGTACTTTAGCTTTGAAAGGCGCTATGGAAATTAAGTTTATTTACTTTGTTACTCACCAACAGCCTTAAAATAATGAGTCTCTGTCCTCTTGGTCGCTTCAGATTCTTTGAAGAAGGATTATTCATTCATTTATTGTTTGCAGACTCCAGACAAGGAGTGCCATGTGTTTACTAGCTGTGAAAATGAATGATCATTGTATTTTGTGATAATATCAGCATGTGTAGTGAGAAAAGCAACTGCAACTCCAAAAGTCTTATTTCTGTGGTGGTATGACTGCTGAGACTAATGTAAACACTCCTCCCTGAAATGTATTGAATGTTAGGAACTAGATAAGAACACATTCAGAGACTGACCTAGTTCTCAAGACCATCTAAAAGAATGATGTGGTCAACTGTGTCAAACTCTGAGGTTAAATTTAAAGATCCAGATGCAAAATGTTACTGCATCAGTACATTACTTCAAATGATCACAGTTACAGCCTTACAGTAATCAGTTACCCCTTTTGTAAGCTTTACTTAAAAAATATATGTGATGTGGCTTTTGTAAACTGGACCCATCACATCCATATAATTTTGAAAATGTGAATTTACCTTAATTTACTAGTCACAATAATATACTGTATTTTACACTAGAAGAGAAAAGAGTCTTATTACCAAAGTGACAAGTTTTCTCTATTTATGTAGGTGTAAAATACTTTAAAGCTCCACTGATCAATATTTATAGATATATGCTAACTTGACACAGAAGATGATCTCCAAACTCAGCAGTTTCCCTCACCTCAGCGGAGTTTAATTTATGGTCATTATTAAGCTAATTGTTTTGGTTTTCTACATTACTGTTATGGTTCACTCGCGTTGCTCAAGTCATTTCAAGAAGCAGCAGGCAGCAAAAATCTCTCAAAATGTTTTGTCCCAATGACATAAAAACTTGGGAAAATAGGTCAATCCAGGTTGAAAAATACCAGTTACCCATTGAAGATTGTCACTGCATTGTAACAACAAAACTTACATGACATTCCTGTAAATTTGTAACTTTTCTGACAACAGATAAAAGTAGGGTCCAGTCATCCAATAAAAAAAAAGATCATTTGCAGCAGAGGAGGGCCCAGTTTTATAATTCCAGAAATAAACGTAATATGTTTGGAAATGACACTGTACGAAATAAAAACATCAGCGCTTGATATGAGATCTTTTAATGGACTTTTATCATTTAGGGTGTGAACAGTGTTTATTTGTGTGTGTGTGTGTTTTCTTGTACATTATTTTCCCAGCTGCTCTATGTGTCAGCGACAGATTATAAATAGACTCAGGGCTTAACTGGAAAAGCCCCTCCAGCTGAGGGGGACTCATGACCGGGGGAACTTTCCCTGACAGGCGACAGTTAATTTCTATTTTGTATCCAGTCGCTGATAATATCCCCCTACACACAGCTTCATGGGAACTCACCAATTACTGTTTGCCTCGTCTTAGGACTATTTGTGATGGCCTGCATGGCCAGTGTTTCATGTTACATTTCACTTTGTATTAGTCAAGTCATCTGCAGCAGTCTGATTCAGGCAGGGAAAAATTGTTTGCATCTATTATTCATTAATATATGAAAGCAGATTATACAGTCTGTGTATAAACAGTAGCCTAGTACTTATGAAAAAAATCACTATAATAATCTCTGGGGACATACAGCAGCCTGTGGCCCTCATAAATCTACTGAACATTTTGGTATTTTATCTCCAGTGGCATTATGTTTCATCCTTTCTATATCTATTGCAGAATTACTGAAATTTTTTTTATGCTTCGGTGACTTTAGCTAAAGCATCACATATCAACTACATCCCATTCTGTCATTGAAGGGATGACTTGTAAAGAATATTATGTTGCCTAATCACCATCTGGACTGCATCAAGCCAGCCACAATAAACAGGAAGTTTTGACCTTCAAATTAAAAATTAAATAAAATATCTTTTAAATTTGGTAATTGTTTGAGTTAACAAATGAAATAATACATGAACTAAACTTTAATAATCACGTTCCTGGTTTCCTGATCAGTTCAATCTTATAACCATAATAAACCTATTAGTTTCTTTCCAAATGTCCAAACATGCACAGTCCAAAAAAATTCCTGCTACATTTAACTATTATTATAATAACATGTTTCATTTATGCCATTTAAGGGCATGGCCAAAGTTACCAAGGAGGACACTGAGAACATGTCCTCTGTATTTTTCTGGGAATTTGTAGGTTTTAGCAACATGGGGGGAGATTATATTCCATTTTCAATTTAAACACAACACAGACGTAGATTTAAGTAGTTTTACAATTCACGTTAATAAGATTAAGGACAATACAAGGTAATAACATTCACACATTTTCAAACTCAATATATTTAATTTGACTTTAAGACCAACCGTTAGTGCTTCTGATCAGTTCAAATGCCCTCCAAGTGCCCCACTGCTTATCTTAAATGCCTCTGGTGTAAAAAACAATCCAGATGCTTTGAAAACGTATGTTCCATACAGCCGCTCAAAGTTCTGTCTACCATACACATTTTCCCGAAAACCTGCAGGCAACAAGGGCTTTATTTTGAAAGTCATCCTCTTCGGTGTTCCGGCTCACCTGGTTTAGCCTGACTGCAGCTCTGACTTGAGGCGTGTGTTTGTTTTGTAGAGTATCTGCGGAGTGGACGCCGGTGGGTCACACACACACACACACACACACACCGCCGGAGAGGAGCTGTCAGCGGAGCAGGTACAACTTCTCCGTCTACGGTCCCCGGTGAGGACCCAGCAGAGGGACACGGGAGCGGGACACACACAATTTACTTCGTATTAATGTCGGTTTATCTGGCCGAGAGAATTACCTGATACGTTACGTTTGACCATGACTTCGGTGTGGAAGCGACTCCAGAGGGTCGGGAAGAAAGCGGCCAAGTTCCAGTTTGCTGCTTCCTTTCAAGAACTTATGATAGAATGTACAAAGAAATGGTAAGTAACAGTAATAACACTTCTTACTAGCTAATAGGCTATGTGTAAATGTGTTGCGTTCGCTTAACACCCTAATGTGTTCTGCCCGAGTGTTAAAGGAACCGAGCGCCTTGTCCTGTAAGTAAGTTATGGGCACAGCAAGTGATGCCAGTCACAAATAAGAACATTCTCCTTCTCGGTGAAGTCATGTACGCCACAGAACAAAATGGCCTTTGAGGAATCATCCGGACCCTGTTCAGCTCACACTCTGTACGCAAACCAATGCTTTTGTCAATGAAATGTACCTATGATTGGGTCGCTTGTTATTCCATCATTATTACTGTTCGCCACGATGTAAACAGTGTTAGGGCGGTAGCGAATGTCTTTAAACTCTTTCTGAAAGTTAAGGCTTTTGATGTAAAATAGCCTGTTTGGGAACCAACTTAAGCCTGTTTTTGGTGGCGTTTTACGATTTGTCTTGGTTCTCCATTTAAGTTCCGCGACCTACGCACCGTTGCGTGGTTTTAAATGACAATGTCAGAGTCCGTCTCAGGATTGTGCTTTTATATGTTAGAAGGATAATGTAACAATGTACCGGGAGCTTTATATCTTATGTTAATAATGCAGCCAAGTGAGTTTTTAAAATCAAAATACAGTGACACTCCTTCAGAGTGCACGCCCCATTACTTCCGCGTCTGCTTTTTCATATTGAGCCTATGAATTGTAAGTACAAGCTACATAGGCTCAATATGAAGAAGCACATGTGGTATAACAGCCTGTTAACTATGGCAGCCTGCTGGCATGCAAAAAAAACCTTATAGGAAAGAGTGATCATCTCTGGATCAACGGTTGGTGTCGGTGGTGCAGGTGGAGAAATGATGCGGTCATCCACACCATCAGCACCACAGGGCTGTAACCAGGACATAGAGATAATAAGTTCAAATCCCCCCCACCCCCTCCATGTAAGGGGGCCCTGGGGTATATATTCTTCTTCCCTGTAATGCTATGCTGGAGGTCTCACCCCAGTTTTTTTTTGTGGCCCACCAAAATAACAGAGCAAGTTGCGTTTGCGGTTTTTCAACCAGAAGAAGACATTCAGTGGTAACTTTTGGTACTAAACTTGATACTTGGTACTTAACTCAGATATTGGAAACACGACTACTGAAAGCCTCACACTGAATCTACTGTATGTCAGTCTTTTCAGCCTGCTCACAGTCAGATTAAATAGCAGGATACATGGATAACTTGTAGGGTTTGGAGCAAAATGTGTATAGATTAGGGCAGGGGTTTCCCAAGTCTGAGACTGGGGCCTCCCCTCAGACACAGCTTGGAAAAAGGCGCCTTCTCCCTCAGTATACTTAATTTTGCTCAAGTCTCGGATACCAAAGGAATCATCTTTATGTTATATGATCACATAGACAGGCAGAATTAAGACAAGACAGCCTGATATTGCTGTTTGACAGCTCAGACTACACCTAATACATAATAAAGGTCAGTCCTCTGGCATTTATTAATCTCTGGGAATGTGGGAAGAACTGTAAAATTCCCCAAAAGAATTATATCTCTGCACTATTCTACTTCAACTTCTGAAAATTAATGTAATAACTAAAATAATATTTTTTTCACTGAGCCTCCCTTTGAAACCCTCTGGGTTAGGGTGTAGGTCAGAATCATACTGTAAATTATCATACACCGGAAGTCTGACTGTTTCAGTCTTGGCACTGCAGGAGTTCCTTTAATTCCATTATCATTACTCACGGTGCAGTCAGCATGTGTTTTCAATCCGCCAGCCCTGGCTTGTAAAGTGGCCTACCTTCCTGTCACTCTGTTCTGTACTTTTCAAGAGGTAGTAGCAACCTGTTCCTGCCCTTGGTAGAGCCTGTCGTAGAGGGTGTTTAGCACGTGGCTGCGTTGAGTGACATGTGGGTGCACTCACAGGTGACTAGTTGCTAGGTGGTTCAGAAGCCAGGCTTTGTTTGGCCTGCCTCAGCTCCACCAAACAGTATAGATGTAAGTTCTTTGGCACAACCCCTTTGCCCATTTTCGGATTAGCCAGAGTCAAGTACTGCCAAGATGGTGAACTGCTCTTCAGAAACCTATGGGTGACGCCACAGACAATACGTTCATGTTTTATACAGTCCATGGAAGTATATGGAAGTGAGAGTAGACTATAAGGTATATAGTACAATGGAATGTGTTCATGGTGTTGAAAATGTGTATTTTTTAAACGGGGTCAGGGGGTTTTTCCGAGTTGAGTGATGGGGGTGGGAAAAAATCTATTCACTTAAAGCTGCAGTCACCAACAACTGAACACTGAACAACTCAAAACCTTCTGTCTATCTCTGCTGCTCATATATATTTTTTTACATAAAAAATATGTAATAGTCAGTCAAAGATAATCATTGACATAATTTGACAATTACAGACAGTTGGTCAAGAGTATTATTTACTAAGGCAAATAATTGTTTTGGAAGAAAAACAAGGACCCATCTAACTATGTGCTCAAATCTCGAGGTAGTTACATCCTACAAATATCTGGGAAAATGGCTGGATAGCACTTTATATCACCTATGGCATTTTTCCATTGCAGATAGTTCCCCCTCAATGTCGCTGGTTGTTCAATATGACACCCCCCCGCGACCTGCACACACCAGATGTCTCTTAAGTTAAAATATTTCAGGATTACTCAGAATGTAAAGGCAGAATAGCGACGACATTAAAATCGAGATGAAAACAATAGACATCTATCTGTCAAAGTGCTTTACATATATGAGCAAGCGAATACAAATATAAAGAAGAAAAGAGATTAATTGAAATACTGTTCTCTCTCTTAATCTCATTTATTCTCTTGTGTCTGCTACATTGTATTTTTTGCCCCCCACTCTACCTGTACCATTTTAACCTCAGCCCTTATGGCCTTGTCCGTCTAAATTTGTATCCCCCGCCCCCCTCCCCTCAAGAGGTTAACCCCCTCCCCTCAAGAGGTTAACCCCCTCTTGCCAGCCCGTCCTTGTAAACAAGAAGTTGTTTTTAAGTGTCCTGCCTGGTTAAATAAAGGTTCAATTAAATAAAAACAAATAATTTATTTAACTTTAAATTATGATCACTTGCAAAAGACTTATAATAATACTAAGTACACTTTTGGTGTACTTCCATATCATAATATTGATATTATCTAAGTTAAAATTTTGCTATAACAGTAAAAAATTCTACTCAGAACATTAAACTAAACTACTTCTAGAGCCCAGCCAATAAAACTTCCTGGCCAACACATATACTAGCTCATTGCAGCTATATCAGAGTATATGTCAACTGATGAATGACAAGAAATAGAAGCAAAATATCCTGCACAGTACATTTCTTGTTCAGTGTGCAATATAATTTAAGGAAATGAAACTGTTTATTTATGTTACTGTTACTTCTCTTAATTTTCACAATTTTAATTAAATTAAGTTAAACATTTTTATTTAGTGTCTCATTATAGTCTGAGTATTATTATTATTATTATTATTATTATTATTATTAATTGTAATCAGCCCTGACTTTTCATCAGTTTCTTTTCTTGTCTTGGCAGAATTTGACTTCCATAATTTTTCTAAATGATTGAGTTGAATAGAAATGAGACTAGAGCTCACATGCTGTCCAATGCTTATTGGCAAGTCCAGACCTTGAAGACCATCTGGCTGTATGTGACTGTTTAGTAAATGTTTAGATTTAATGTTTACAGTGGTTTTAAAAACCTGAGTCCTTCATTTCTTCAGCAACGTTAACCAGAGCAGCTCCTTGTGAGGCTGCGTCTGTGCATGTTCACCCTTTGTAAAACATCAGAGCATACAGCAGGGAGCTCCAGCCTGGAAGGTTTCATGTGTGCCATTTCATTAGAGTGTGTTAGGTGAATGGTTTATATCTTTTTTCATCTAGGATAGGCTCTGACTGACATGCAAGAACTGAAAAATTCACCCACTTTTAAAATAACAAATTATTTCACTCAATGTGCAGAGACATGGACATGAGAATTAGGGCTGCAACACCCCCTGAAACCAGGCATTATAAAAACCATTAGTTGATAAAAAAAGAGGGATCCAGAGAGAGAGAAGAGAGAGCGTGTGACCATGGACTGTGATGAGTGTTGACATGATATCAAACCTTTCTTTGATCATGAAGCCTGACGTTCCTCTGCAGCTCTGTGGTTCATCAGTGAGGAGTCTCTGGTGTCTCTGTTAACAGACGTTGTCTCCTCTATGAAACATCTGGATCCTCACATTATTAGAAACTGTGATGAACTGGTCGTGGGTCACATCTCTCTTCCTCTTCGTCTCCTTCAGCTCTCATGCATTAGTTCCTGTGGTTGACTGTGTAGCTGCTGTGGCTGCTCTCACATACAGTGTGTTGGTGTTTGAGTTCTCTGGCTGCTGAAGTGTAAAATGTTCTCAAATTGTTGTTAGTTTTTGTTGATATATAAGTTGTGCAGGCCATTGAAGTGAATATGAAAAACATGAATATCATTATCATTTAGTTTGGTTCTGAAACCAAGACCAAAACCGCAACACACCCACTCCCCAGACTGTTAAACTCTCTTCACGGCTGTGTGTGTGTGTGTGTGTGTTTGTGTGTGTGAAAGGAGGGGGGCGGGTTTAGTGGAGTATAGCGTATTTGTATTTCCTGAATCTGCTCCCTCTCCCTTCAGTTCCCTTCTTCCCACACTCACACCTAGCCTGGACCTCTGATCCCTCACTGCAAACACAGCGGCTTGCCCCGCCTCTTCCTGTCTCTCTCTCCCTCTGCCCTGCTGACTTTCTCCATCAGCAGTACGTTTTATAAAGTCACCGTGTTTAATAAACTCACCCGCAATTCTCAGCAGCTGGGGCGCCGCATGTGGATCGAAACCAACATGGTACCAAAGGACATCTGCACCAGTGTGTTCATTGTTTCTCCGTGTTTCGTAAAATAAAATATAGCCCAAGTCAACTCTATATGTGGGAAACACTATATTTAAAGTTAGACCAGGCTGTAGACATATA